GATCTGAGCCAAAGTGGGACGCTTAACTGACTGAGCCACCCAGGCCCCCCAACCTTTATTCTCTTTATCTCTCTCTCTTTTTTAATGTTTGTTTATTTTTGAGAGAGAGCCAGCACATGCGCTTGGGGGAGGGGCAGAGAGAGAAGGAGAGAGAGGATCCCAAAAAAGGAATGCACTGACAGCAGAGAGCCTGGTGCAGGGCTTGAACTCACGAACTGTGAGATCACGATCTGAGCCGAAGTCAGAAGCTTAACCGACTGAGTTACCCAAGCTCCAGCTTCTCTTTTTAAGCCCAGTGTCACTTTCCTTATTTATGTCCTATGGCCTTTGGTTTGCTTTTGCTTAGGGCTTGATACTCTTGAGTTTCTCACTCAGACACTAGGTGCAGGAAACCAGCTCAGGCCTATGCCAAAGTTGGTGTCCCAGGCTTGCTTTCAAGGATCTGGGGCAAACATTGCTTGGTGATTCAGGTGAGTAAGTGTAGGACCCAGTCCTCTGACTTGTGTCACTTCCTTGTAGGTAAGGCTCCCACCTAACACCAATGATGAAGTGGATGAGGATCCTACAGGAAACAAAGCCCTGTGGGACCGGGGCTTGCTCAACGGGGCCTCTCAGAAGGTAGGATTACAGAAGGGGCTCGGAAGGATGGGAGCCAGCCTGCATAATACATTCCCCATGGCCCTCACTGAGGGAACAGTTTTTAGTCACTTATCCACAGCGCACATGATTCTGCTGAGTACTCTCCTGTGTATGGAAGTCCTTTTATGGCCTGTGATGGACAGATGCTAGGTTTGATGTAAAATGACCAAGTCAACATTCCATTTTTATGACTGTAGAAATAAGATTTTTTTCCAAGACATTTTAGCAGTTGAGTGGAGCATAATGAGTTTCTTGGAAAAAATTGTTAAATAGGGTCACTCCCTTTATGAATCAGCTTCTCTCTGAGATGTTCTGGGTTCTTTACTTTTCTCCTATAGGCATGTATTTCTGTAGTAAAGCATCTCTGGACTTCTTAGATCTATTTTAGAAGGCAAGCCTAATGATTGTTGCTTTTTAATAATTTTCTGTGGGTTTTTTTATGTAAACTTGATAATTTAACAAAAATTTTTTTCACTCTAATTGTTTATCAGAAATGATCTAACTTTAGCATGTTGGTGGGGACATTAATCTCAAGTAAATGTTAACGTTCTGAAGTATTTTTAAGTGTTAGTGAGGTTTGGATTTAAAAGAAGATGAAATCTGCCCTTTGGAGGCACTCCTTGCTCTTGGTAATCTAGAACAGGTTGTGAGGGCACACATAGTTACTAGTCTGTTTTTGACTTGCAGGCAGAGGTGATCATGAACTACCATGTAGGCGAGACAGTGCTGTCATTACAGAAGACCACACTGATCCCCGGAGGCTCAGAATCGCTTGTCTATACCACCTTGTCAGGAGGAATTGGCATCCTTGTCCCATTCACATCCCATGAGGTAAAATCTCCCACACTCTTCTGGCCTTTGCTTTGGCAAGGTTGTTTCTTGGTGCTGAATCAGCCTAAGAGGACAAATCTTATGTCCCCACTTGCAACTAGGCATGTTCTGGAAATTTTATGAAGTGACAGATGTGCCTAGGAAGATACGAATCCTGATATCCCCCTCCCACCCCTGTGGGAAAAGCCATTTGTTTTCATATTGTACCTGTGTTTGGTTCAGTTATGATGTGGATATAGCATTAGTCAGAGGCCAGAGCCCCAGAACCAAACCCCACAAGAGTAGGAATGATGGATGATGAGTACTGTGCATTTAATCTGCCTCCTTGAGTCAACTCTGGGATTGGCTAAATTGGATTTATGTCATTCCAGCTAAAGAAGCTGGGATCAGGAATCTGACTTCACAAATCACTCTTTACATACAGTGTTCTCTTGTGTTCTGTAAATACAGGTGGGGTTTCTTTCAGGTATTCGCTATCTTGTAGCAGGAAAACCTGTGATTGTCAAAGGAGCAATTTGTTAGCAAGTAGTTAATATCTGTGTGGTAAAAAAAAAAAAAATCAATGGCTTGTCTGTTCATTTTGCTTCTGGAAACCATAGACTAGTAGTTGAAATCACTTTTTTCTTTTAGTGACAGATTCTTTGTTTCTTCCACCAGGACCATGACTTCTTCCAGCATGTGGAAATGCACCTACGGTCTGAGCATCCCCCTCTCTGTGGGCGAGACCACCTCAGCTTTCGTTCCTATTACTTCCCTGTTAAGGTAAGGTCTTAACCTTACTACACACCAGAACCTGGGGGTCTTGTTGGAAATCTGAGTTGAAAAGGGGGATCTTTAGCCCATTTAACTTGTCTTTTCTGTGGACCTCTGTCTTTTAAAAATCAGAGCAGTCCTGAATTAAAGGGGTGGATTGATGGAGGCAGTAATGGGGGAAAGGAATGACTAGTGATATTCAGGGACCTCTTCCCCTGGGGCAGACCACAGCCAGAGAAAAGCCTTCACCCAGTTTTGCTAATCTGAACACAGGCTACTGAGGATGAACTTAAAATAGCATTCCTGGCTCTGTAAATGGTTCAGATATCAGAGAGAATAAAAGCTTTCCTTGCAGGTGCTCTAGCATATGTCACTTTCCGTGAGCGTCTAACCTTTTTATTCCTTACTTTTCTATGTCTTAGAATGTGATAGACGGAGACCTCTGTGAGCAGTTCAACTCCATGGAGCCCAACAAACAGAAGAATGTCTCTGAAGAACTGGACCGAACCCCACCTGAGGTGTCCAAGAAGCTTGAGGACATCCGGACCCGTTATGCCTTCTGAGCCCTTTCCCTGTGGGGCTTGTGTCAGAGACTCTCTGTTTTGTTTCCCCTACCACCTGGCTCTGAACCCATGTGGCAGAAGGGTGGCTGGTTAATTAAGACTTCGTAATATTAAAGCTAGTATGTCTTTCGTATCCACTCTTTCCCTGGAGTGACTGGTTCCCCCTAAAATTGGCACTGAAATTTGCTATGCTTCTTTTTGCCTAGTACGTAATACATTGCCCCCAGGTTCTGGTGTGTAATAAGATGTTGGCGATTCCCCCAAGCTTTCCCTGCACTGAAATTTCTGGCTCTCTTGTCTACTTTTGTACACACCCTTAGTTTTTAACCAGTTTTCCTGTAAATATAGTTTTGTACAATGTTATCTTTGTGGGTGGGAGGTGGGGAAGAGATGTGGGGAAGGCAGGCAAGCTGAGGTGGGGACCAGGTTGAATATAGTATAACTCCTGAGTTCTGCCACTCTGAAATCTAACCAGAAATACAATGTAGTTTTTAAGGTGGCTGGAGTCCATGTGTCTTTTCTGGGGGTGAGAATTTAGATGGGAGATTTAAACCTGAGTTAGAGCAGGAAGAATGGAGTATCCTTCTTTCCACCTACCTGCTTGTACTTCTGGTTCCCTGTGGCCTCACTCCTGGCTTTGTGGTGGTTTTTTGGCTTCCTGTAGTTCTTTCTGCTATGCAGATGAAACTTGGGCTTAATAATAAACATGGGGTCAGCCACACCTCTTCCCATTGAATATTGAGGAAGGGTGGCTGATTTCTTCTCTGGTGTTTTATTTTATTTTTTTAGTGTTTGTTTATTTTTAGAGAGAAAAGGTATGCCTGTGCACGGTAGGGAGGGGCTGAGAGAGGGAGACAGAGTCCTAAGCAGGCTCTGCGCTATCAGCACTGTCAGTGCAGAGCCTGACGTGGGGCTCTGTCCCATGAACTGTGAGATCAGTATGAGCTGAAATCAAGAGTCAGACATTTAACTGACTGAGCCACCCAGGTGCCCCTCTTCTCCCCTGTTTTAGCTTCTTCCTACTTTGAGGTCTTAAGAGTGAAGGATTCAGCATGCATTCTAGCTGGGTAGTCTCTTAACAGATGCTCCCTTTACTTCTACAGCTCCTGAAATGATCGTTTGCCTTATGAATCCTAGGAAGGATCAGTAAGTACAGAAGAACCCAGATCTAACCTGCCCATGGGAACAAAGTCAGTATATGTGGTCTCTATTTAAAGGCTCATGGATAATGACAAGGGAGGGGTGGGTACTATCTGCAGCAGTCATCTTAGGCAAGCTCTGGCAGGCCTTTGGAGTATGAAGAGGCAGCACTGGTAGCTAGTCAACTGCCAATGTGCTGGTGTCAAATGTTACAACCTACACCTGGGAAACCAGCTCTAATCGTCCAGGTAGTCTTCCAGCTTCATTGAACCTGGAATGACCCAAGCTCGCTGCTGTTCCCAGTATTTCACAGAGTAAAACACTCATTCACGTGCATGTGCTCAGCCACTTCCATGAACGGATTCTCTGTGGCTAGCACTGGGTTAGAATCAAATCAAGGTGATTAGATAAAATCTTTGACCCTGAGCAGCGCACAATCCAGTGCAGAGAGTTCCTGATGCTGTCCCTGGAAACTCATCTTAAGTATGACTGAGTTTTAGAGTGGTCAGTAGAGATCCAGATATTGCCAGGAATTGAATCCCTAAACAACACTTTGTCAGTTATCTCACTGATTCACATAACAGAAGACAATACTTTTGAATTACATTTTTATGACCTAATTCCAGGGCTTATTCTTCCTGTAGCCCCTACCCAAAGCCATTCTGTTTAGTCTGTCAGATTGTATGATACTGACATGCAGTAGTCTGGGAAACTTGGCAAAGATGTTTGGGTAGCAACCTATTCTGTTTCTTTTCTGAAGTACTTCCTATAGTCATAGAGGGTTTATATGTAAGAGAGGAAAAGATCTCTGTAGAATTGCGAATTGTCTTGGGTTGCTAATGACATAGACGGTAGTTCATTAGCTATATAATCACAGCCAATGGCATAAGGACACTGCGTGCCATGCAAAGTCACATGGGGGTTCCACTCAACAACCAGGTAAACAACTGGGGGCTTTGGGAGGGAGACGGGCTTTTTAGTATCAAGAAGGTGGGGTGCCTTCTGGTTCCTTTGGGAAGATGTGATTGGCTTGAGTAAATCCATAGACTCTGGTGAACTGAAACCTGCTGCCCAGAGAGGAGCAGGAACTGTGTCTGGTCCTTTGATAAGGAGGGTTGTTTAGCTTAGGGAACCTTACCCATAAGAGCAGAGCTGGGAAGGAAACTTGCAGTTGGGCCATTTGAAGCTCTTTTGATTTTATAGTATATAATATGAACCTTAATTTTAGATCTTTTACCACAGCTGGGAATGAATGGTCATCTGATTTTTGCCCCACTAGAGAGCTACAGGTGAGCCAGGCAAAGGTTTCATATTAAGAGAGTCTGTCCTTTCCCTTTTGTCTATAACCCAGAGTCTAGGGAAAATGATACAAACTCAGCGGGACTGTCACAGAAATGTGGGTGCATTTTGCAAAAGGTTAACTGGTAGATGACAGCACATAATGAGCTAACATTCTGAGCATTGTACTGATAATGAGCACAGTAAGAAATGTACAGGGCCTGCTCAGTTGAACTTGATAGCCTAATAAGGAAATAGTCAAAATGTGTTTATAGTATAACTAGAGAACTAGAATCAGGTGACATGTCTGATCTGGCTTGGGCAGAAAACAGCTGAGTGAATTTTGGGCAAACCATTTAAAACTTATGAGCCTTGATTACCCCAGCTGTAGAAAGTAAAGGGAGAGAGGTCATACAAGCTTCATGGAAGTCCCTTACTGTGTTACTCAACCTTAATTGAGACAGGATCATGGTTCCTAAGAATCCTAGCACTTACCAAAAGGCAAAGTGACTTTGTGTCTCCTGGGAGTACAAATTTTGTATTATTTTTTTCTTAAATGTTCTTAATCATGAAGATCATCCCTTAGGGCACTCAATGTATATTCCTGGGCAAGTCTAGACATGAACTCACAGGCCTGAGTTCAGTCAAGTATTTGCCTCTCTGATTAGATAGATCTATGACATTGGTCAGGCAGGTTGGCATCTTACCCATAACATGGAGATAAACAGGGTTGACGTGAGAATAAAATGAGAGCATTTATCTAAAATACTCAGCACCCAGCCCAGCATATTGTGGGTGGTTACTGAGCCAAACATGAGCTCTTAACATTTGGGGCGTAGGTCAGGAAGACAATAAAGTCTTCCATTTTCCTTTAGGAGTCACCGAATAACCATAGACTAGTCTCCTTACTTCCCCCACCCCATACACACGCTGTGGTGTTTTCTTTCCTCCTTACACTGCTGTGCTTTTGATATGTCTGTTGAGTCTCACATTCTCAGTTGTAGCTAAATGGGTGCTGGATGAGATAGAGTTTTGAGGGCTATATAGATAACATTTCAGTTCTATAACTGAGGGGCCTTCTCTGGACTTGATTTCTCTGCTAGGATTCTAATAGCTCGTAAGATTTTTTTTTAATCCCTCTAGTTTTATTGAGGTATAATCATTACTGTATAAGTTGAAAGTGTACAGCATAATGGTTTGACTTACATACATTGTGAAACAATTACATTCATCGTCTCATCTCATAGAGATACAATGAAAAGCAGCAAAAATATATATCACATAGCCGTGTTAACTAGTCCTACGTTACATTTCTAATACTTATTTCCTCTTATACCTGGAAGTTTATACCTCTCGACCACCTTGTTCCAGTGCCACTGCCACTCCTCCACTTCAACTACAGATCTCATCTCTTTTTAGGAGTTTGATGTTTTTTTTTAGACTCTACATGTGAGATCATACAGTATTCTTCTGTCTTATTTCACTTAGAATATTGCCCTTACGGTCCATCCATGTCACAAATGGCAAGATTTCCTCGTGTCTTTTTTTTAATGACTAATACTCCATTGTGTACGTATGTACCACAACTTCTTTTATTTTTTGTTTTTTATTTCCCAGTGTTACATTAATTTCAAATGTCCGATACAGTGATTCCACAAGTCTATACATTACTCAGTACTCATCACCATAAGTGTACAACTTGTAATCCTTTCACTTCTTTCACCCATTCTCCCACCCCCTCCCCTCTGGTAACCCTCAGTTCTCTATAGTTATGAATCTCTTTCTTAATTTGTCTCTTTTTTTCCTTCACTCATTTGTTAAGTTCCACAGATGAGTGAGATGATAACGGTATTTGTCTTTCTCTCACTGACTTAATTTTGCTTAGCATTATACTCTCTTGCATCCGTGTTGTTGCAAATGGCAAGATTGCATTCTTTTTTTTTTAATGTTTGTTTATTTTTGAGAGAGAGAGCCACGAGCAGGGGAGGGGCAGAGAGAGAGAGGGACATAGAATCAGAAGCAGGCTCCAGGCTCTGAGCTGTCAGCACAGAGCCCAGCGCAGCGTTCGAACTCACAAGCTGTGAGATTGTGACCTGAGCCGAAGGCAGAGGGTTTACCAACTGAGCCACCCAGGCGCCCCTTGGATACTAATCTCTTACCGAATATGTCGTTTGTAAATATCTTCTCCCATTCAGTAGGTTCCCTTTTAGTTATGTAGATTGTTTCCTTTGCTGTGCAGAAGCTTTTTATTTTGATGTAGTCCCAATTATTTTTGCTTTCGTTTCTCTTGCCTGAGGAGATAATCTCTAGAAAAATGTTGGTATGGCAAATGTGACAGACATTACTGCCTGTGCTCTCTTTGGGGATTGTTATGGTTTCAGGTCTCACATTTAGATCTTTAATGCATTTTGAGTTTATTCTTGTGTATGGTGTAGGAAAGTGGTCCACTTTCATTCTTTTGCATGGATCAGCACCCATTTGTTGATCTACCACAACTTCTTATTCATTTATCCATTGATTGTTGTTTCCATGTCTTGGCTATTGTAAATAACACTACTGTGAACATATGGGTGCAGGTACCTTTTTGACTTAGTGTTTTCGTTTCCTTTGGATGTATTCCCAGAAGTGGAATTGCTGGATCATAGGGCAGGTCTGTTTTCAATTTTCTGAGGATTCTCCATACTGTTTTCCATAGTGGCTGTACCAGTTTACAATCCTACCAACAGTACACAAAGGTTTCCTTTTCTGTACATTCTTTCTGGCATTTGTTATCTTGTCTTTTTGATGATGGCCATTTTAAAGGCTTGAGGTGATACCTCATTGTAGTTTTGATAGGCATTTGCCTAATGACTAGTGATGTTGAGCATCTCTTCATGTGTCTGTTGGCAGTCTATCCATAATATATCTACATTGGGAAATGTCTATTAAGTTCCTTTGCCTATTTTTAAAAATTGAAGTATGATTAATATATAGTGTTCATTAGTGTCAGGTGTACAACATAATGATTCAGAAGTTCTATACATTATTCAGTGCTCGTCAAGATAAGTGTACTCTTGATCCTCTTTTTATCACCCACCCTCCTATTCCCCTCCCCTCTGGCAACCACCAGTTATTCTCTGTATTTAAGAGTTTTTTTTGGTCTCCTTTTTTTCTTTGTTTAGTTGTTTCTTACATGTGAATGAAGTCATGGTATTTGCCTTTCTCTGATGGACTTATTTCACTTAGCATTATACTCTCTAGGTATATAGAGAGTTTTTGCATTGTTGCAAATGGCAAGATTTAATTCTTGTTTATGGCTGAGTAATATTCCATAGTATACATATACCACATCTTTATCATTCGTCTGTTAATGGATGTTTGGCTTGCATCTGTATCTTGGTTACTGTAAATAATGCTGCAGTAAACAGTAGGGGTGCATGTATCTTTTTGCCCGTGCTTTAATTGGATTATTTGTTTGCTGTTGAGTTGTATGAGTTCTTTATATATTTTGGATGCTAACCCCTTATGTAGATAACATGGTTTGCAAATAATTTTTCCCATCCTTTTGGTTGTCTTTTTACTTTGTTGATTTTTTCTTTCTGTGCAGATGCTTTTTAATTTGATGTAGTCTCACTTATTTTTTGTTTTGTTGCTTGTGGGTTAGGTGTTATATCCAGGAGTTGTCACCATTGAGTTTCCTTTGCCTATCCATAAATTTGCTTGTTGTCTGCAAGCAGAATTTCTGGATCACAGGCGCAAGGAATTAGGCTTGAATATGTTGAGCTCAGGAATTTTGTCTAGTTCATAGCTGTTGCTCCAGAATGTACAAAATGTGTTTAATAAATACTTGGTGATGGGATGAGGCTAAATTACAAATCCCATCTATGTAGGTATTAAGGGGGGGCTAATGAACTCTTTTGATTTAACTGAGCAGCCAGGTAAATGGGGACCTCTGTGTGTAGCCTTGCAAAATACATCAGAGTCTGCCATGCAGTTCCGAAGGGATAATGTCAGGACCCTGAGGCATTTGCCCTTAGGTACTAGGATCACTCTCATCTTGCTGCTCTGTTAAGTCCCTGCAACTTGAGTCTAAGAAAGACTGAAAAGTTTTCAGCTGCCTCATCTTTCCCTGACCTCACGGGTAGGGGTTCTGCAGATGTTGTTTCCTTTGGAAGATCTCTTGCCAAGAATAGCATTCCTTGGGGGGAGGGGGTTCAAATTGGACTATGGCTGGAATGTTGCTTTTCTTGGTTTTTTTGAATGTATTGCTAGCAAGACTGCTGTGGCTGGGAAAGGCTGTTGGAGTTCACTTCTCTCATGGGGAGAGTGCTGGTCACCAGAATGTGTGTTGCTCCCGTGATGCAGCCTCTCTTGAGTTTCTCATCAGTGGGAAGCCAGAAATGTTGGGAGCATTCTTCAGATGTGATCAACTTGGCTTTCAATTTTAAAAAAATATTTATAAATTCTGTTTCTATTTAAAGTAGAAATGACATGTGTTTGCCTGAGTCATCTACTTGCTCATTTGCATATGGAATATTGTGTGTGAATATTTTGTTTATTGTACCTTTAAAATACATTCAAGGGCTATATCAAGAGCTCAGAAGAACCGTCTCTGCTGCTGAAGTCAAACCTTATCCAAAAAAATTAACAGGTGAGGGCCAGATGGCTTACTCTTGGTTACATGGTAGGGTTACATGGTTACATCTGTGGTCAGTGGCTGATTTACATGTGGTGATCTGATAGCCCAGTGTGTGGGGTTTATGTGAAGTTGAGTGAACTGAAATCCACAGGTACGTACTACAGAGCAGTCACAAGAGTCCTCTTCACCAATCCATAAGCGCATGGCCAGCTGTTTCTGTACAAGCTTGAAAACCAGCATCAGAAGACATGACCAAAAAAAAGACACAGCCAACTCACTGTAAGATACTGCTATAAATTTATTTATTCCACCAGTATTTACCAAGCACCTACTATGTGCCACCTCTTTGCAGGTCTGCTCTGTACCCAGAAGTTGACGAGTTTTTATAACCTGTCAGTTTTGGTGAGTTTGCCAGAGAGCCTTGTGACAAGTTTCTGAAGAGCTTCAGTCTCTGTCTCTGGTCTCCTCAGATAAAATAGGCATAGCCTTGCGACTTCTGGGAAAAGTCAGAAGATCCCAACTCTGAAAAATGAGGAGGTGGAGGGTGGGCAGCCAAACATTTCTGGTACAGAAACAGAAGGAAACCTGTATTAGCATCATCTGAGTTCGTCAGAATAGGTTGCTGGATTTTACCCCCAGATTTAAAAAAAAAAATTTTTTTTTTAAATGTTTATTTTTGAGAGAGAGACTGTGTGAGCAGGAGAAGGACAGAGAGAGGGAGACACAGAATCTGAAGCAGGCTCCAGGCTCAGCTGTCAGCACAGAGCCTGAACGCAGGGCTCAAACTCATGAACCTCTTAATCTCTGCTGTTATCTAGGCAACTGTATATTTCACAGTCTGGTGGTCATCAGACGTGGAAATCATTAGGTTTGGTGGGTAGTGAGGGAACATTGTTTCCTGTTCAACATGAAGCCAAATAAATAAATAGACCAAGATTGTAAATTCCAGTTTCGGTACAAAAGGCTGGGAGACTGAATTTGAAGTAGCTCGAGGCTCCTGTTAGCACCACCCAACCCCACCTTCACCCCCCAAATCCAGAATCTGTTAATACCCAGTGGGTTTTGTCATAATCCCAGAGGCAAATCCATCTCTGTTCCCTACCTGTAACTCTGCCTTCTAAAGCCTGGTCCTCACATTTTTCAGTTTGCAGGCCTACCCAGCAGAACGTGTTCCTTCTGATAGCAAACAAAATCTCAGTGAATGGGAGTTGCTTTGAATTAGCTCATTTGGGAAGAGTTTTCACACATTTAATAATTTGAGGCCATAAAAAGACATGATGGTCAAGAGAAGCATCAACATTTACTGTGGGTTATCAGGGCCTAGTGCTGTTAAACACAAGGCAGGCTGGGGAACCTCTAACCTTTAAGGAGCTGATGCTGCAGCTAGAGAAAGGCCACTTCACCATGGAAAGCAGAATCAAGATCCTGCCTGCCAAATGCCAAGCAGGAGGTCAGGAGTAAAGGCTAGAGAAAGAGGCCTAAACAGAGTCCTGTGGCCTGGGTTCACCAGTCTCTGAGCATGGTCTCAGTTTCCTGTCTGTAAAGTATAATAAAACCAACCTTCAGGGGTTATGGTAATAGCAAAGTGCTTTTGCTGAGCATCCAGGGGATCTGAGGAGGCATGGCCACTGAACTTGGGTCTTGAAGCCTGGGGAGCCTAGAGCCATCTCCATCTTGAACTACAGTCTTATGTGCAATGCTTTGAAAGGAAGAGACATCATTCCAAGCCAAGGAATCCCAGAGAGGGCACAGTGGAGTTAATTCAGGCTTCTATGAGGCTTGAGTGAGGTCCTGTGGCTAGACCCCATCATCTCCACTCTGTCCTGCCCTCCCAGCAGGCCACCTGACTGGTATGAATCAACTTGGCATAGTTCTGCCAAGGCCTTGTAGAGGGTATTGTCAGAGTAGCCATAGCGTTAGGGATGAAGGTGGGTAATTAGCCAAGTGCATTCCAGTATGGGCCTTGTCCTGCTGGAAGTTCAGGGCCAAACCAGGAATCCAGTTTTGTCAACCCAATTGAGAAATCATTTGAACAGCTACTCGTACCAGGCATTGACATTCGGAATAAGACATACTAACATCTTTTAGGGTAGCACTTCTCAAATGAGATGCTATGGAATCCTAGATGTTAAGGGGCCCCTTAATAAAGATTCTGTGCTCACGTTCAGAGAAACTACAAATTATTGTCTTGGATAGTTTGATGCTTTGAACACAGTCCTTTCCCCTTTCCCCTGATTCCTGCTTGTAATGTCCACTGGTGGAGGAGCTAAAGGATCCCTTGGGGGGTTGCCTCACCCCTAACTACTAAATCAGGGAGCTGGCTGTGAAAACTAGGTGGAGATGGAGCTGCCCCACTGGTGCCCACAGAATTCTGCTGGGCAGAGCCATTCTCCGCTTTCGGTCTGACTCAGGCAAAGTGAAAGTACCCTTATTCTTGGAGATGGGGCTGAGTAAAGGGCTTCACTTCTGTGTCCTCAGGAACTCCCTGTGCTGTGTGTACTACCATGAGTTACACCAGAACAGTTGTGTCGGGAAGCCCTAGCTGTGTGATCTTAGGTTAGATACTTCATCTCTCTGGGCTCATATCTCCCATCTGTAGACTGGGTAATTGATTAGTTCTCAACACTGGTGATATTTATCAAAGGCCTTTTCTCCCTCTGTTTGTTGCTTCTGCCTACACGTGCACTCCAGTCACTACCACATCACCCAGTTTTACTAAGTTTTGTAAGAAGAGGTTTTTTTTGTTTTGTTTTTTGTTTTTTTTTAATCAGAGTAAATGTGTTCTGGAGAGGAGCTGGGGCAGGCCCAACCCTCCTGGGAGCCAAAACTTGATGTGGGGACTCCTGCCATTAATATGCCAGGCGCCGTCAGTCAGGAAACAGTTCCTGGCTGTTCCTCTGGGTTTGTGGCCCCCTCCTATCCGCACTCCCAAGGCAGGCTGGGGACACGTGGCCCTGCCCCGCCCTTGCTGGCTTCAGTTTCTCAATCGGGAGCGAGCGAGGAGCGGCAGTGGCCTGCTTTCCCCGCCCTTCCCATCAGTCGGGAATTCGGATTGTGGGCTGGGGGAAGCAGCACCCTCTCACCTGGCACCCTCTGCCTCCTGCTCCTAGGCACTTGCTCCTACTCTCGAGCCCCTTAAAATCAGCAAAGCCCGAGAAGACCGTGTCCTCCTGGGTGAACAGGTAAGAAGGCATTCATTTTTTTTCCTCACGTGGTTTTCGTTTTCTGACTTCACCTCAACTTAGCTGCTGCTGCTTTCACAGATCACAGCAAGAGGGATATGAGAAAGACTTGAAAAAGTCCCAGCCAAAAAGCTGTGAACTGTTTCTCTGAAATGGTGTGAATTCTCTGCTCTGTATTTCTTTAGACTTGCAGGAAAAAAGATCCAAATAACCATAAAGCAAGTTACTTCTCTCTGTTCGCTTCTGAGTTTTGTAAATCAACAGAGCCACATTTTTAAGTGGTTGTGGGTTACTGGGGTCTGCTCCAGTGCATATTGTTCTAGGTCTTTAGATTTTTATGTACCATGCATGAATTATGTGTGCGAATTACCTTATCAAAAATTAATTGATTTAAAAGAAAGGGGAAAAATGGCATGAGTGAGCCTTCCTTGTTTGGATGGTATTCTGAAATGAAAATGAGTTCTTTTATTCTTTGCATTTATTTTAAATTTGCAAAAACCAACTAACTACTTGTCATTTTAAAGGTATGTCATTTTAAAGGTATGTGGTATTTGCTACATTAACAAACCCATCCCAGCATAGGCAGCCTTTGCCCCTCATTTGTGAAGTTGGGTTGCTTCCAGGTGTTTTGCAAGTAGTATTTTGACTTTTATGGGTAATCCTGTGAAAATAACTTTTTCTGTGTTTTTTTTTTTAGTTTCCCTCCCCCCCCCCCCCCCTTCTTGGAGTTTATTCTCCATCAAGAATGAATACTGGGGGCAATGGCAAGAACATTTTTGTAGCTCAGTTCATGTTACATATGCAGGTCAGCTCACTCAAGAATTATGTGACTAATTCCTAATTTCCAGAACCATGATGGTATGAGGGGGTGGGTGAGGAACTTGTTTTCTCTGAGGATTTTGCAGGAAGGAGGCAGTCTGCATAGTGGTTAAGACTTGACCTTTGAAAGCAGGCAAGCCTGGGTGTATATGCATAGCTGCCTGACCTTGAACTCTCACTTAATAATTGTGCCTCAATTAGTTCTCATGCAAAATAGAGATTATAAAACTTCTTGGTGATACAGGATTTTTAAGGCACTTGGCACAATGTCTGGCACTTATTAAGCACCCTTGGAAGACTCTTCAAGCCTGGGGCTTTCCCTGGGTCATTATACTAGCTGGGCAGAATTGAGAAAGTCCTCTCAAGGGCATCTTCTTGACTCCCTCTTACCCAGCCCCACTGTAACTGGAGTGAAAGTCTTCTCCCCTGCTACAGGATTTTATTGACTTAGGCCCCTATCTTTGCTGAGGCTGGAGGGCTGTATGTCAGAGGACAGCAGGTCAGGTGAACCTCTTTCTGAAGGATCCCCAGACTCTTGGTCTCCTCCTGCCACCTGATCTAGATGTCACCTTTCCATCTCCCAGCCACCTTTGTCAAAGTGCAGGTTTACAGGATCCCTGGACAGAGCGGAGAATTCCCCAGAAGTCTAGGGGCACACCTTCTGTTCTCTAGTCTAGTAAGTTATTGGGAGGCCACCTATGAGGCTCAGTGGAATAAGCACAGGCTGGTCAGGCTGGGTTCCAATCCTGGCTGTGGACAGTCATTGGACTTCTGAGCATCAGTGTCTTCATCTATAAAATCAAAATGTTAATGCCTTTGCCATAGAATTACATGAGAAAACATAGGTAAGGTGTTTGGCACATAGGGGTCCGTTAATGTGGAAGGTCAAACCCATGCTCCAGAGCTTTTGGGAAGATACCAGAATTAGCCATAAAAGACAGGCAGAAGACTCATGTGCTAATTTTCTTGGTCAGCAGTCGTTTATTGGGCTAGGTGGCCATGGTGCTGGAAACTGGGGTGAGATGCATAAGACAAGTTCCATGCATGTGAAACAGGCACACAGCTCGTTTCACAGGAGCAGAGGTGACTGGGACTGGGACAGCTCCCTGCTTAAGAAGGAAGAAAAGTCTATTAGGCAGAAATGGGAGAAAGCTGAATTTGGGGCAGGAGGTGGGGTAGGGGGCAGTTCAGGAGGCTGCAGGACTGGGAGAGTAGGATAGGAGGTGAGAGGAGTCAGCGGGGACCAAATTTTGAAGGTCAAGTGGGAATTTGGACTTTATCTCAATGATGTGGGGTTTTAAGCAGGGTTGGGGATGCCTTTCTGGCAGCTTTAGGGGATGGTATTAGAGGCCTGATATGGACCCAGCATTCCATCCCATCTCAAAGGCTTTAATGGTACCCCAAATAAATAAATGCACACAGTGGAATTCTTAGGATAGGCTCAGTGTGGGGGAGCCTGGCCTGAAAGTTGGGGTGCTGGGTTCTGGGGTTCTCATCCCAGAGTGGGTGGTCTCCTCTTCTGCCTCAGTTGAGGGTTCAGGGCAGTTAGGCTTCCTATAGCTCTTTCCTTCTGGAAGTCTGCAAAATGTCTTTGGAAGCTGAAGTTACCCATTCCACCCCACCCCACCTCCCAGGCAGTACTGTCTGGTGGCTGTCCCTGTCCCAACCTTGGAAGAGGCATTTTTTTTTGAAATGGGCAATATGGGGGGCACCTGCATGGCTCAGTTGGTTGAACGTCTGACTTTGGCTTAGGTCATGATCTGACAGTTTGTGGGTTCGACCCCCGCGTCTGTGCTGACAGCGCTGAACTTGGAGCCTGCTTCAGATTCTGTGTCTCCCTCTCTCTGCATCCCCCTACTCATGCTCTGTCTCTCAAAAATAAATAAATGTACAAAAAAAAAAAAAAA